TGAAAATTTCAGTGTGACCAGATGCAACTACACATTCAAAGCTTCCAGGCACATTAGTGTTTGCTATGATTTGAACGTGTCCCTCGAATCCCACATGCTGGAAACTCTTTCCCCAGTGCGACAGCGTGGAGCCTTAGGCTTTTGGCCCTCCTGGGTGGATTAATGCTGGTGTGCTAGGAGTGGGTAGTTATGAGCCTGGGCCTTCCCCACCCTTGCTCTCCTGTGTACTCTTGCCCTTCTGCCTTCCACCATGAGATGCTGCAACATGCAGGCCCTCGCCAGATGTGGGCCCCTTGACCTTGGACTTCCCAGCCTCCAGGACCAAGGACCAAAGAAATTCCTTTTCCTTATAAATTACTCCATTCGTGGGAGTACGTTTTAGCAGCACAAAATGGACTCGATGGTGTTCAATGAACGTTAAATGCGTCAACAACTAAATGTGCTTTATGCCTAAACATGGCATGAAAGAGTCTTGTATCCTATTTTTATTATGATAAACTCTACATCCAATAATATTCTACTTTTTAAAAACTCAATCATGATAACCAAAAAGCTTTAGGACTAGAAGATAATTTTTGTTGATAAAAATAAAAATAAAGGAAAGGAAATATGGCCACTTATAGTAAGGGAGTGGATCTTAGGACCAGCTACTCTACCCATCTGTCTCAGTTTTCTTCTTGGTAAAATGGGATGGTGATAATAGCAACTATCTCACCAGGTCGTGGAGAGGATGCAGTGATGCTAACGCCATTACAGGGCTTAGCACACTGCCCAGAATATTGTAAATTCTCAGCAAGCTATTATTATTCTTAAGAGCAGGAATGAAGCACCTACAGGCTTTATTAGCACTTGTCTCTCATTTTACTAGGTCTTCCATAACAAAGCACCAACACTGGGCACCTTAGAATAAGAGAAATGCATTCACTCACAGTTTTTGAGGTCAGAAGTTGAAATTCAGGTCTGTCAGGACCACAAGTCTTCTAAGACTCTAGGAAGGAGACTCCCTTGCTTCTTTGAGTCTTGAAAGCCCCAGGCAGACCTTGACCCTCAGAGTATCACTCTTGTCTCTGCCTGTCTTTTATTATTCTTATGTTTTTATTGGTACATTATAATTACACACAATAATGAGATTTGTTGCCACATTATTCATGCATGCACATGATATGACAATTCAACTCGGTCATTTTCATTCCCCAGTATTCTCCCTTTCTGTCTCTGACTTCACAAGGCCTTCTTTTTGCGAGTCTATGTGTCTCTCAGTGTTCTTTCTTCTGATAAGACACACTCATTGAATTTAGGGCCTACCCCATCCAGTAAGATCTCATCTTGATTTAATGACTTATGTAAAGACCCATTTCTAAACAAGGTCACATTCTGAGGTTCCCTGTGGACTATTCACTGTATATTCAACTACAAAAATCAAATGCAGAAATTGCTTTAGCCACTATGGATTTGTTATTTTCCCTCCTTGCTTTAAAAACAGAAAAAATAGAGGGAGAAAGAGAGTGCGCTTCAAACTATGCTGTTAATTGCTGCTTGTTATTAAAATGACTTTGATAATCACAAAATCCTTGAATTTATGATTTGACTATCCCAGAAGGAATAGGCTTAATTAGAGAAAACTCACTTTGGCATGGCCAAACAAATTCCCATTTGGTCCCCAGTGGAGGTTCCCAGTAATCTTGGGCACAAAGACCCACAGCTAAAACCCTTCCTGTGGGTGGGGACAATCTCTGCTCCTGTAAGCATCTGCAGCCTCAGCCAATGGACAGCCAGATGGGATGGACCCGTCTCTGCTGAATTTAATGGCTCCTGGTTGGGGAAGATCCTGAGAAGATGGGAGACTGCAGAGTTTTCTGTAGATCGATGAAGAATGGGCTAAATGGTCTAGTGTGGTATTTCCAGAATGCCCTTGTACTGTCTTCAAAGCATGAGAAGTTCCCAGTCAGCAGTCCTGTTTAAGATGCAAATAGCTCTGGGAGAGATAAACCTCAACTGGTGATCAAATCTTTATGGATCTATTTGAAAAAGGGTTCTGGGAGTAGTTTTCAATAGGAGGTTAGACCACAGGCAGGAGCTTTGCATTTTTTTTTTTTTTTTGCTGGTGGGTGAGAGACTTTATGTGTATCATCTACAAAGTGAAAGAGAATTATGAAGGACCTGTTTGTATTCATCCCTGTATTCCTGAGTTCAGTGATGTGACAGCCATAGAAACATGACTTATAAATTCAAATGTGCGCACAAGGGAGAGAAAAGGAGGGAGGGAAAGTGTTTGTGGGATGCAGAGGGCAGGAGTCACAGACAGGTATAGAGGCCCAGATAGAGAGGGCATTGATGGGGGAGATGAGGAAGAGATGGAGGGAAAGGAGGAGGAGGAAAAAGAGGGACAGAATTTAAACAGTGTGGGCTGCTGGCTCACTGTTCCCCAGGGGGTTAATACCACACCTGGAGAGACCTGGCTGATCTGCCTGTCCCCTTGAGCCATGTGGGAACCCAAGCCACTCTTAGTGTGAACCTCTCACACAGCTGAGATACAAGTGCCTCAGTGTTTTCATTTTCACACAACCTGGCCCCAGTAAGGCACATCTGAAGGGCCATCACTTGGGACACCTATGAAAAACTGGACTCCACTAAATGCATCAAGATATGGATTGTCAAGCTAATTTAATTACATGCAATCTTCACTGGACATGCTACTCCACTCCAGAGAGTACCGATGGATGTGAAATGATTTTTAGTTAATAGGCAGGTGTTTTCTGACCAGAGACAGTTAACCCTTAAATGACTCTGCCTCCTAGTACTGTTTTTTTCCCCCCAAGAAGAAGAAGAAAAAATTAATGAAATTAGATGTATCATTCTGTAAAGATTAGAAGATATAGGTAAGCCAAAACCAAACTTTAAAAATACCAGTATTTTCATCATTCTGCAAAAAACAACCAGTTAGCATTTTGGTCATGTACTCTCACGGTTTTCCTCGTCATTGTGTGTGTGTGTGTGTGTGTGTGTATGCATACTTTGATTTTATACAATCATGCAACTGGGTTGTGTGTGTGGTGGGTTGGGACCCTCTTCATTCACTAAGCAAGACACATCTTCCTGAATCCTCTTAGCACAGACCTATATCAAAGGAGGACAGGGAGGGACCTCAGACAGCTCATTCTTTAGCCAGTGAGTGTGGTCCTCTTTTAAAGGTTGAGGGTTTGGCTGCAGCATCTGGGTGGTAGTGGTCACAGGAGTTTCCGTGCAGGCATCTGGCCCTGGGTGGTGAGGCCCAGTGCAGAAGCACCAGCTAGAGCCTCAACAGGAAGACACTCTTGGCCTCTCCTGGTGTGTGAAGAAGATTGCTCAATGCAGACCACTTTCACAAATGGGGCCCTCCTCCCTTTTGGCCATAGGATTCTTCTAAACCAGCACCAGGTAATTTCCCCCCAAGACTTGTTCTACCTTGTTTCTACTAGGAATGGTGCTCACAAATGCTTTCCAACTGTATTGTGCACTTTTTAATTTTTTTTTTGTTAAAAGCCACTAATTGAATCAAATGTAATTCATCCTACTGAACAAATATGAAGAGACTATTTAGATGTCTTTTGTGTAAACCCCTTAAAATAATGTCAAAGGCAACTCGTAAGCTTCATTTGACTTCATCTCCTATGTTAGCTAAACTAAAAGCTATATGCCCCTGCTTTTGTATTCATGAATCTTGCCTATTAACCCTCTGAGATTTTGTGTGAGCTACTGTGTTTAACCTAACTCTCCCAAAATAAGGGGGTTGTGATTTCCTTTAAATCGTAACTTATGTAGTGGAATGTCTCAGGTTTTCCTGCTTATTTGATTGCATTCAGACGGTACTTTGGCAAGGGAAGCAACTGCATTAAATTAGCATCAAGCACAATGAATGGTAATTGCAAGACTGTCATTTCTACAAGTGCAAAATTAATGTGCTCTGCAAGCCTGTTCCATTGTATGCCACAGGGAAACCTCAGAACCATGTTGTTTGGAGCAGAAGAATGTACTGTAGCAGCACTGTCAACGTGTGAAGGTATCAGTCAGCGACGGTGTCCTTGCCACCTTTTTTTGTTGTCACCTCAGGCTCATTCTTTAAACCCTGTCTGATCTCATTTGCATGCTCATATTCTAGCCCTGACATGCAGTAGCCTGGAAGTGCAGCGAATGCTGTGGAACAATTCCTTCTTCTGTATGTGGCACCTTGTGGGTGAATAATACCGGCATGAACCACCTCCATATGTTGATGAGAGTATGAATGGGCTACTTATGTGAAGCGTCCTATTAAGAGATGCACAGATCACTTCCACAAAACTTTACCCAAGTGCTATACATTCATTTTAGAGAGAGGAGAGTGATTGACATGCATTTTTATTGTAGCTTAGGAGAATAGCCAGCCACGCCCCTTTTCATACTTATTTACATATGAAAAATTAAGCCACGGGCCAGTTGAATGATTTTTTCCTGGTCATGTGGGATCACAGGGAATACTCCAAATGAATACATGCTTATGCTGCGGGCCCTTGTATTCTGCTCATAGGCTCTGAGCAATTTATCAGGGATTCAAAGACTCGTTTAAGACTAGAAAAACACGGTGAGCAGAGATGCTGCTGATTTGCTCCTTTGCCGCCCAGGGGTCTTAATGCAGCTCACTGTTCCTCCAGTTGCTAAGACTGGACTCAAGCTATACCTACAAGAGTGCTCCTTTGGCCAGTCACTGTCGCTATCATTCTCATTATCATCCTCTTACTGAGGATGCCTTGATGGGTGGGTCTCAGTCTAGGCTAAACCACAGGGATGGTGACACAGCACAACCCATCAGTCAGTTTACAGGGAATGATTTGGGAAACTTCCTCCCTGAAGTGGGAGAGGAATTAGAATCACTGGACCTTCAGAATAAAATGCACTCATTTTCAGCCAAAAAAAGAAATCATTAAATAGATGATATGCACTTACAAATATGTCTAAAAATGGGTCCGGAACCGGTTCTGCCTTACCTTTGTTGCAAAAGGTCCCGTCATAGGCTGTGTTTGAGCAGTCGCAGGAGTAGCCATGATATTTTTCTATGCATTTGCCTCCATTCTCACAGTTGGTCCCATAGCTGGTGCAGTGGCCAGAGCACCCAGATTTGAACCCGGATGTGACCTTGGCTCTTTCCTCAAGGTCAAGTGTCACTCCATTCATCCTCAAGGAGCGGATGCAGCCCAGAAAGCCTTGCTGGCCTCCAGCGCCACCTGGGAATGACAGAATGCAAGAGGTCACACAAAGAACTCTGCCTTGGTTTCTGTCTTGATTCATTATGATGGAACAATTGCGGTAGAAGACGAGACTGCTAAGTACATCGGGTATTGTCACTTTCAAGTTGGTCTTGTCTAAACAGAAAAAGTTAAAGCTCTCCCTTTAGGCTATAATACCTAATTAAAAGAGTCTGTCTTCTAAGAAGTGAGAAATTTGCTACAGAAATAAAATGTTTGGAGGTACACAAAAATGCTTAATCTGGTTTCCTATAGAAAAGAGGTTTATAGAAATCTTTAGTTTCTTTGCTCTTTAATCTCATGACATTCAGTTCTGTAGCATTATCTACTGAAAGAAATAAAAAAGGAAGAGAAACATGAATATATTAGCATAGTTAACAAGCCAATTAGTCAGAAGGCATAAATCCATTTGAAATGTGATTGTACGTTTTGGTTCTTGTCTCATGAAAGGCTTTGCTTTGAGGTTCACATTAAGGGTATCTAGGACTTGTCTGGGGTGTTGGGAGTTGGAATTGATCATTTTACATAGAAATCATGTTTATTACTAAGTTGGGTTAGGTTTCATTGCTTTAGTCTAAATGCCTTTGCAAGACATGTACCACAAAGAACATGTTAATTGTGAGTTTTGGAATAAGTTAATAGAGTTAGGCTGAAATTCATTGCATAAAAATATTAAAATCTTCCATACAAACTTCATAGAAGTATTCATTAAAACATGTGTCACAAGTGGATTTAACTGTTTCTGTAATATCCTTGGTTATGGTCTTTTTTTTTTTTTAAAGCAGCTCGTATAAAAGGAGGAATACAAATTTATACATGTGTCTGTATCTTAGAATAACATTTTTTTTTTGGAAATAAATACAAAATAAATAATTGGTAAAATTATTGGAATAAATATCTGATGAGGTCTTAGAAAAGAGAGTTTGTTAATAAAAATAAAACTCAATTTACTCTTTCATTAAAAGCTGTGCAGAAGGAATCGACCTAGCACCTTAAGGTGTTTTACCTGATCTTCACAACAACCTGCCAAGGTAGATATTGTTGTCATTGACCTCATGTACAGACAAGGAAACTGAGGCGTAGGGAAGTCAAGGAGTTTACACCAGGACTCAGGGTGCGCTGGTGGCAAGGCTGTATCAGAACTGTCTTATTGTGGAGCCTATGTTCTTAATTGACTAGTGATGACCACTCAGTACAGAGGAAGATAGAGATTTGGATGTTTTTCCCAATGGAGCTGTCCACTGGGTTGCTAGAGTTTGGGTAAGAAGTTAGGCTGGGGTTGATTCTGATCACCTGGACTACTGTCCCGAGAAGACGAGCATCCCAGTAGACTCGAGACAGGTCAGCTCTGCTTATGTCTGTGAATCCTCATCCATAGATGGTGAAGAAATCCTTCCACTGTCTGTTTAAACCCAAGCCTCGTGTTTCTCTGTTGGGAAGTGCATCATTTTGAATGATTCTCCAGGGAACATTTTATTTTCATAAAATATTTGAATAAAAGATTAATTGAAGGGAGTCCAATGCCCTTTGTGATCAAAGCTGGTGGGTAGCAGAGGGCAAAAGAAGTTATTAAAAGCAATGGCTTTGAAGGGCTTCCCACTTCGCCATCTGCTCATCAGCCAGCTCCATACCTCTGTGCTGAGGAGAATTGGGGCCTTGCCTGATTTGGAAGAATTTCAACCCATTAGCCACTCTTTGTGTGTTAGAATTTCATTTTGGCTCCTATCATTTTAGTCACTATGGTTTTTGTTCTTGCAATAGGGTTTTCCAAAGTGCCTTTAGTACATAAATGCATAGCTGTTTGAATTTTCATCACTAGTCCATTAACACAATGATGTCCTATCAAAATATGTGGAAATTTCTAAGTCACTGACTTTTAGCTATCCCCTTCACCTTTGGTCTCATTATCAATGTAATTAATAGTATTTCATTGTGGAAACTGTAACATAGTTATAAGCAAAACACAAAAGAGAACTGTAAGGTTCCTCAGATGCAACTACTTTTAGGGAACAGCCCTTTCTATGAACATATAGATGTGCAAAGAATAATATAAAGGAAGCAATGAGATCATAATAGCCCCATGATTCTCAAACTTGCTTTGTGCACTTAGCATATCACAGGATATTTTCCAAGTGACCTGTGGACAACCAGAACTCGGTGTCTAACATGGACCCAGCATCTCTCTGTGGAGGGGTGGTCACTTAATCTGCTCTCACATTACCATCGGGCTTTTTAGCTTTTTCCAATTTCCATTTTACAGTGTGTTGCAACAATATGATCTTTGCAAAAACGTCATCATACTTGTCCTGTTTTTCCTTAGATTTTGTCCCTTGGCATTAGTGGATTACACTTCCAGGTGTGACTGCTGGGTCTGAAGACACACTTTTCTATGTGTGTGAGCTACTGCGGGGAACACCGGCCTCGTGCTCCATAGGCAAGCACTCTACCACAGTGTGGCATCCCCGGCCTGAAGACACATTTTAAAAAGCATTTTGAATCTATTTTCCTTGAGAAGAATTTACCAATTAATATTTCACCAGTAGGTCCAAGGTGTCCACCTTCCCACCAATTCTAATCCTCATGGATTTGTCAATTCAATTGAGTGGGGAAAAGCAGCTTGCTGTTTGATAGGCATTGCTTCACATACTGAGAATGGAATATTTCCTATGTTTTCCTTTTTATATTGTATTGTTTCTTTACGTTCTTTAATTTTTTGGGGGGGGGGGATAGAAGATATATTTCTTATTGATCGAAAACAGTATTTTGTGCTTTGACTCTTTGCTTTGCATTTTGTGATTATATTCTTCCAGCTTGTGTCTTTTAACTTGTACGAGGCTTTTCTTTTTCTCTATGAAGGCTGTGGTTACTGAGGTGGTACATCTATGTGTCTTATTTCTGTGGTTTCTGCCTTTAATATTGGGCTTCTAGAGACCTTCTCCAGTCTAAATCAATATAATTATTTAACTCTATTTTCTTCTAATACTTTTGAGATTTTATTTCTCTCAGCATTTTAACCTTTACTCTCTTTAGGACATATTTCACTCTGGGAATAATTTGTATTTAATGGATCCTCAGCAATGACTGAGGGCTTCAGAGATTTCAAAAAGGCTAAGTAAATGTTAACGTGGTCAATAATGGAGATTTAAAAAGGGCCAATTAGCAGAGCAAATCTATATTAGATTGCATCTTTTTTTATATCATTAAGACAAAAATTCAGGTATATAAAAGCATACTTAGTGACTTATGGACACAGGACTCACTGAAGAAGGGGCTCCAGGGGCAGGGTTCCCTGCTGTCTGCTCCTGCCCTGGGCCCTGGGTGTTCTGAGATTCTCCAGCTATGTCTGTTCCATTCAGGGATGCTGACTGCCTTTGGTTGGGCCTTGGGTTTTATCAAATTTCTTGATCTCTCTCAGCATCAGTTTTCCCAACCACAGAAACAGGGGCTGAACTGGATGATGCCTCGGGATCCCCCAGCTCTACATTGCTCCAGCTCATGATTTACAACACTTCCCTTTTGCCGCAGTCTGGCTGGGCACAAATCACGAGCCACTGAAGCAGGAACAAACTTTATTTTTAAACTGCAGGAAAACACTTCACACAGCTCGAGGCTTGTCCAGGAACCCCCAGCCGGAAATATCTCTCCCGGAAATCCCTCCTCCTGCACTTCCCCAACCAATGGGAACTCTCGGGGAATCCCAGGAAATCCCCATGAGAACTCCAAAATAGTGCGAGAACTCAAAAGTTGCGGCACAGGCGGATAGTAATGCCTCGCCTGTCAATCAATACTGTTGGCAAAATGCCAGGGGCCATACAGACTCGGCCGTGGCTCTCAGCACCCTTTATGCTTTTATGACTCCCTATCTTTCAGTAAATAATTCTTTCTCCTAAGCTTCTTTGTTTTTTCCTTTTCTGAATTGTTGGCTTTTTCCTCTTCTTTGGAACTGATCACAAAATATGACTAAGTCTCATTTTCATTTGTTGCATTTATTAAATTAAATATTTTTTTCACTACGTGTTAATTTATAATGGAATTACCATTTCTCACTCCAAAAGAAAAGACTAACTAAAATATTTTTTTCTTACTTAGGCGGCCCCCTCATTTATTTAAATGGGCCAGTAGCTTTCTTGATCGAGTCAAGAGGAAGAAAAAATATTTTATGCTGAAAATGGTCATTATATATTATGCAAAAGATGTTAATATGCTGAAACCATAAAAACCGAGTTTAACTTATTGCTTTGTAGAAATCTTTCTTTGTGGCAAATGTCATAAGTTGAAATTATAGGTCTTCAAGTAAAAATGCTACTTAACCTTTGTTAATTAGGAAATCAACACATTGTCATTGGAGAGAGCCCCCCTGCCATGCCAGGGCTTCATGCACATTAGTCAAACCTCTGATAATTATCCAAGGTGAGATGTTGGTTTAATTTGTATATCATTTTTCATGTGGAATGCTACGCAAGTGTTGCAATTAAAGATTAATTATGAAAATGCTGTAACTACCCGTAATGAATGATGCAGCCATTAAATGCACAGAAGGTGGGGGCAAAAGAATCAGTATCACATTAAACAAAAAGGACAAAAATAATATCAAGAGGAAACATCAAAACATACACGTCTTCAAACTCAGAGCTGAACAGTGTTCTAAGAAGCTAAGTTCTATTTCAGAGCTACTTTATCCACTCAGACTGGTCACTCTTCTGCCCAGTCTCCACACCAAGTTCTTTTTGTATGTTAAAAGGCGTAACCACTGTGGGAAAGATAAAGTCAAGGAGGGTTAAGTGGGATCTGGAGAGGGAGTGGGGATGTGGTGGAGTCGGTAGGAAGGGGCCGGGGAGTGAGCTGGGAGTGGCTGCAGAATGGCGAGAAGAGCAAAGCCACTGGTCAGCTCAGCAGCTTTGTAAGGTTGGGAAGGCATTGCTAAAACGACAGGTGGAGTCCAATATGGTCACAAGCAGCCACGCGGTGATGCTGGGCAC